AAGATCTATGAACTAGCTACGATATTCAGATACAGAGACAATGCGTGTTACTTACCAAATGCATTCTACAAACTTCGCGAGTCTTTCCTTGTTTATGGAGCATCGAAATTTGTTTTTCCACCTATAGTCTTCTCCACCTTTGCCCTCCTCGTAAAAAAAAGCTACGCAATGAACTACGCATTCAGGATCGACAGGATCAGCTGCGTTAGTCGCAAGGTTTTCGCTCATCTTGCCTGACGGACGTACATGTGGCGATCCGGGTCGCGAAGGTCACGTTGCTTATCAAGTTACTTAATAGCGGAGCTCCTTGCGCGCGCGAAGCACCATAACTAAGATAATTTGGTAAACTATCCCCCCGAGAAATTTTGGTTATGACGTCAGCGTACGTCTGTCCGTACGGAACTTCCGGGTAGTGGAAAGTAGTCCGCATGGACTCGTGGGGTAGGGGAAAGTAGAGATTTTTTGGCGGAAAATCGCATCGCGCAACGTCGCGCGATTATATCTCGCAAGTGGTTTTGAAAAAGAAATTTCAAAGCAACTTAGCAAAAAGATTTTTCGACAGAGCCTTAATAACTTTTTATTACAACTTACGAAAGCTATTATGTCAACAAACAACAGCAGAGACATTTTAGCGTGTAGACGACAGGTTTAAAGTAGAGAGCAAAGAGAAGGTGAGCGGCAGAGACCAAGAGTCAACACGCGTAGAGCAAGTGAAGACGATCGCCAAAGAGAGCGCGTTAGAAGTAGAGAAAGAAGACAAAATTTTAGCGAAGAAAGTCGGCAGGTAGAAAGATGTCAGGGCGAGAAGAAGAAGAGAAAATCATAGTGAAGAACGCCGGCAAGCAGAACGAGACGGAGCTAGAATGAATAGACAAAGGCAACGCGAAAGAGAAATACAAAGGCAAAGAGAACGGCCGCAAAATAATGACATGATGACAGAAAGTGTTGTGTTAATGTCACTATGGCCCCGCGCTATTAACATTTTGATTTCAAACTGATCTCGGACGCGAAAATTCAGCCAGTCATTTAAAAATACAAGCAGGGAAGACGGAGGCTTTTTACTTTTCTCAACATAGTCACGCGTTGATCACGCTCTACGACCGTCCAATTTTTATGCTCTGATTGGTCAAAATTTGACAGGTGAGTTCATGCAGAAAATTTATACAGCATCTTGAAACTTGTTTACTTTGACAGCTGAAACTGACAGAGTTTTTTGTCAACTTGTGATTTTTTTATTGTCTTTTTCCACTGGATGCATAAAATCAACAGTCTATTGTTATTCATGGCTGGTTTGTTTATTGAATTTTTGGTTGAGACATGCGCCGCTTGTCAAAGTTGGAAATCCGATTTCGGATGACATCGTTTTAAATAAATAAATAAATAATAAATAATCAACTTTATTTAGCGAAGGTAACACGGGACAGTACTTCAACTGAATAACTAGTGGCCCTCAAACTAAAATTATAAAACGAAAATTAAGTGACAAAATACATATCGTTAACGAAAAAGAACTATAAATATATGTATGGTTAAGACTAAAAAGAGTAAAAAACTATATTAAAATTATGAAATATCCTTACAATGAATATCTACAAACTATAATTACAATAAGAATACAGCTAGGATGGGTCAAGCGAAAGGAAGGTTGTAAATGCCGGATTAGCATAAAACTAAGAAATAAAAAATGACTATAAATAGCCTTTCTAAATGAGGTTACACATGTTCCTTTCTTAAGGTCAATGGGCAGAGAGTTCCAGAGCCTGGTCGCAGACACGCTAAAAGTTCTCCCTCCATCAGATTCGCGATTATATCTGGGGCAGACGAGGTTTAAGGCACTGTACCTCCCGAATTTTTAAGAAAATGCTTTTTTCGTGAGAAGGACTCTTAAACGCTGACAAACGTCAACAAATAGCGAAAACTATAATTTCTATATGTTTGCTTTGCTCGAAATGGCGCGCATTTACAAGGCCCTAAAGCGTTTTGCTGACTTGCAAGGACCCATCTGTTATAAGGATGCCCAAAATAAAGAGATGAGTCTCATAGTTTATAAGATATAATCCGTGTAAAGTTTGCTTACCATTTTCGCATAAATTATGACCTAAATTTGGAAACCGCTGAATTTCTCGAATTGGGTTTTTGCGATTTTGGTGAAACTCTGTTCAGCGCAAGGCACTAATGCGCACTATGTGTAGCAGAGAGATTTTCACGAAAAAATGCCGGTAACAGCAGATTTTCGACTCAGACCTCAAAGGGGCGTGGCATTATAACCACGTGACATTTACTCCGACCGCCAAAACTTTTATGTTATATTGTAGATTAATCTACATGTTATCCATTCATGTGTTAGACTTACGATAAAAGTAAAGGTGGGGATACCAGAGAGCTTCAAAGTAGGATGGTACCCCCCCAAAAAAACTGGGTCGAGTCACCTTCAGGTTACTTTAACACGGTACCGGTCGAATTTTTAACCGGTTGAAAAATTTGATAGGACACTTCGTTCACAAGGAACCGTTCTATATTTTTGCGCTGTTCACACAGAACTGTCGAGCTGTAATATTTCCAAGCAAACTGAGTAATAACATGACTCGTAAATCCATGTTTGCAACGGTAGTTGCTAGTAGTTATTAGTAGTAGTTACTTGTGGTTACTAGTAGTTACTGGTTATGTTGGTGGTTACTGTTAGTTGCTAGTAGTTACTTGTAGTTACTGGTAGTCACTAGTAGTTAAAGGTAGTTAGTAGTAGTTACTGGTAGTTGCTAGTAGTTACTGATAGTTACTTGTAGTTAAAGGTAGTTACTAGTAGTTACTGGTAGTTGCTAGTAGTTATTGGTAGTTACTTGTAGTTACTAGTAGTTACTGGTAGTTACTAGTAGTTCAATGTAGTTACTAGTAGTTACTTGTAGTTGCTAGTAGTTACTGGTAGTTGCTAGTAGTTACTGGTAGTTACTTGTAGTTACTAGTAGTTACTGGTAGTTACTAGTAGTTAAAGGTAGTTGCTAGTAGTTATACTGGTAGTTACTAGAAGTTACTGGTAGTTGCTATTAGTTACCTATTTTCCTCTCTTTTTGCAGCTGAGTAACCACGCATCCATGCAACCACGCCTTTGCTATGCAAAAATTTTGCTGGTCACGGTGATATTTTGTATTCAAAACAGTAGCAAACAGGAAACCAATGTAGCTCGCGAAGCAAAGGCGTGATAGGGCACGACTTTGGGGCGCAATAAATTAAGCGAGCACTAACATTTAGAGAACAAATCCTGTGTATAAATAGCAAACAAAAGCGGTCGGACACAAGAACCTTGAGGGACACTCCATTTTAAGTCAAACGGCTGCGAGAGCGTCTCCTTTATGGAGATTCTTTAAGATCTCCCTTCCAAGTACGATTTGAACCAGGAACTGTCGAGCTGTAATATTTCCAACAAAGTGAGTAATAACATGACTCGTAAATCCATGATCGCAATATCTGGTTTATTTTTTGGTATATACTTCATGGTGGAAAGCCACAAATGCACCGGTAATATACAACCTGTGTAATATGTGGTATTGTGTCTTCTCACTGATAGTCAGTAGTAGTAACTAGTAGTTACTAGTAGTTACCTATAGTTAACTAGTAGTTACTGGTAGTTGCTAGTAGTTACTACTACTAGTTACTTGTAGTTACTAGTAGTTACTGGTTATGCTAGTGGTTACTGTTAGTTGCTAGTAGTTACTTGTAGTTACTGGTAGTTACTAGTAGTTAAAGGCAGTTAGTAGTAGTTACTGGTAGTTGCTAGTAGTTACTGGTAGTTACCTGTAGCTACCAGTAGTTACTGGTAGTTACTAAAAGTTATAGGTAGTTACTAGTAATTACTGGTAGTTGCTAGTAGTTACTGGTAGTTACTTGTAGTTACTAGTAGTTACTGGTAGTTACTAGTAGTTAAAGGTAGTTATTAGTAGTTACTTGCAATTGTAGTTGCTAGTAGTTACTGGTAGTTGCTAGTAGTTAGTCGTAGTTACAGATTGCAATTGAGGGAAGACTGAGATTATTTGTAATCATGTCACAAACTGCAAGTTGCTTATTAGACGAAAATTCTTGAACAGTAGATCGAGGCCGGGCTTTTTTAATGATGGGTTCCAGGTTTCAGCAAAATATCCAGTCTGCAAGGAGAGGTTGGCCATATTAGTAATGGCAGGAAGGAGCGAGTTTAAACATGAAGATGCAAGATTTGTTCTTTGCAGATGTAATCAATTTGACGAACTGTATCAGTCAGGCTTGGCATTGGAAGTGGGAAAATACAATATCACCAGATTCATATTCCAGGTTGGGGTCGGACGTTGACAGCAAGAATGCCGTTCAGCTTTGACCTGATATTGGTAATCTTGGCAATAAAAAAACTGACCAATATTGTTTGCAAGAAGTGAAACAGAATGTGTGGAAGAGATCGATCTTTCTTCATATTCAATAAACTCTTACTTGCTGCGAACAGCCTCCTCTGGTCTGTGCTGTTATCTTCGATAGACTGATTATAGTAAAGACGGCGTGCCTCATTCATCAATTCAAATTCACCACACGATTTCTTTCCTTCTTAAAAGCATCAAGATCAACAGATAATCTTGCAGCTCTCCACGTCTTTTCAGCATTTCGTCTCAAGCGTTTGGCATTCCTAATATCTTCATTGAACCACGCAACAAGAGGCGTAACATGAATGTCACGAGTTAAGACATGTGCATACATATCCAGTTGAGATCGTAACGACTCATTATAACAGCTGACTAGAGAGTCTAAGTCGCCAGGTGGATCATGATTTAGCTGAGAAGAAGGAATGGCCTCAGAAAATTGTTTAGGGTCAGTTGATTTTGTGCATGACATTAGATTGAGGTCTGTTAGATCTTATTTGACTGAAGACTGGAAAATGGTCGAAAAATAACTCCCAATACAAGGGCAAGCAGCAATGATGTTATCAGACGTACGAGTGGTAATCAAGTCAAGTGTATGACCAAGTTCATGCGTAGTAGACAAACATGCTGCTTGAGACCCATCGACTCCAGTATATCCGACAGATAGTAGGTCCATACGGATATTAAAATCGCCAAAAATTTATCAAGGGCTCACTTGACATGACCAGAGACTCGAGGTAATCGGTAAACGGCTTAGTGAGAAATGTAGATGTGGTCACAGCATGTTTAGCAGAATATAGAGCCCTCTGAACTATAATGAGTCGTAAACGAGAAATAGTTACTAGCAAACTTATTCCATTTATAAGTTTATTAGGAAACTTATTCCGACCACGTTTATATATCAACAGCTCTTTACATTTGCGATTGGTTGTATCCCTCAGTGACTCCTACAGGCGTTCCCGTACTCTGGATAGTGTTGGGAGTTTCCGTGACTCTTTCTGCTTTGGTGGTGGGGATAATTGTCTACCGTAAGAGAGCAAAGAGGAATAAACGGTATTTCATAAAATGTTATTGTCTTTGTGAATTCTTTGTATTATGATAATGATATGCATGCGGAAAAAGACGATATTTTTTTCTGTGCAAGTGTCCGTTGGCCTTTAAGTGTCTCTCAGTCAAGTCGCGCTGGTGAGTGACCTTCCTTACAGACCAAGGCGATGTACTTTTATCACCTTGTATGAACCAGGAAACCATCTCTGATTTAAGCATTATCACAAGCCCATGATTAATGACGACAAATTTCATTAACATTTAATTTGCACTATTTTCTTTAGATCCAGTGAGTCTGACATTGCTGAGTTTATGTTGCTGGAAGTCCCACACGAGCGGGTTACTATCATGGAGGAACTGGGACGAGGCGCTTTTGGAAGAGTTTATAAGAGCGTGATGAGGGGGTTACCTGAAAAGAATACATCCTCTAAACCCAAGGATCACAGTTTGGATTCGCACGAGGGACGTATTGTTGCTACAAAAGTTCTACCAGGTGTGTGAGTTCAGAATATGGCAAAAAGATAACTTACTCTTTCAGCAAACGCTATTCACGGGAGTGATTCTTATTAATAACAGGCAAGAGAGCCTCTCTTGTAACAGGTTTGAATATTTAATCCAATAGATAGCAAACATTATATCGTGGAAAACAGCATCTCAATGCCCCAGTGGGTAACATTGTGATGTACCTCAGGGGCCCATTTTAGATCTAAATTTTGTTTTCTACTTATATTAATGACCTCCCTGAATGTTTGCAATTTACCACACGATTTGCAGGGAATAAATTACTGTAGACACAAAAACCTTCAGTGAGATCAGAACATTGATAAGGTGTGCTGCAAGGTTGGTCGTGTTATAAGTGGTCTTAGACAGACTCGAGTTTATGTCACATTATTTAAACGTACTAAAAAGTATATAGCGCTTAAATCGATGCCCGTGTTCAAGCAAAAACCGAGCGAGCACCTTTCAACAAAACCACACAGATATAAAAAATGCAAAACAGAGCAGGCTGCATGATCACTTCTCAGAGCTGTGACATGATAACAGATTATCTCTTTAAACCAATTCAAAATGTTTGTGCATTCCTTCGTAATGTGTAGATTGGTCGTTCTCTTATGTGATCTTTCGAAATACGTTATTCAGTCACTTGAGAACTTTATCTGATCGTATGTGGTTGCAAATATGACCACATTACTGCAGCTTTACTTGGAGCATGAGTAGCGGATTTTAAATCATTCATGTCCGAGCTGTAATCGTCATTTGTTTCAAACTCACATGTCTGTTAGGAGTTCACGATCATCAACCATGAACTTGTTAATTAGTGACACCCAGATCAAGGCTAAAACTTTTATCCGACGATCATGCTTTTTCGTTTTGTGCCCCTAAACTTTGGAATGATTCTCCAGAGCACATACAGTGTAAAATGGAGTTTGAATATTCGTTCTTCTAAGAGTAATCTTAAAGCTTTAAAAACCTCTAAGCGTTATTTTTATTTCGTAGTTTTGTTTAACAATTTTTTTTTGTCAGTGTTACGAGGTACTGCTTTCTAGTCGTTTAAGTTTAAAACATTTATTTGACGACGATGACGGTGAGCCGAAAACCCTCGGTGAAACTCAACTACAAAAGCATATGGGGATGTCCCTGTCTATGCAGAGTCAATGAAAATGAGCCAATTGGATAGATGCGTTAGGATTACAAATGTACACTCAAGGAAAGTCATATTACTGGAGATAGAGTACCCGTGGGACGAGAATAGGGAAGCAATTAAAGAACACAAAACTTGACGTCTAGAATTAAAGAGACAAGTTTCCGGACTAAAAGATCTTCCAGTATTACATCATGTTACACGTCGTGCTTGGTGATCGCTAGATGAAGAGAACTAATGGTTTTTCTTTGAGACTTTGTTTTATCTACTCACTTAACTCAGGGAACCAATTTTTTAACAAATAGATTTTTTTCTCAAGCAGAAATTAGGACCTGAGCAATTGACTGTGTTATATTTTCATAGGTTAAATATACTTTCATTTTAATTAGTTCTTTTTTTCTTTACATCTCGTTTTAGTTGTTTATTAGTAACTGATATTGTGCAGCATTTACGTAGGTCACTGTTACCTGGATTTTCTTTAAATGTCTTTTGTTTTTTAGAAAATGCCACGGAAGAGGACAAACGGCAAATAGTTCGGGAAATTGAGCTGATGAAGGAAGTCGGAACACACCGTAATATTGTGAGCATGCTCGGCTACTGGATCCAATCACAACCCATCATGTTAATCATGGAATATGTTCCAAACGGAGACCTTCTCCAGTGGCTCAGAAACAAAAGGCAACAGGTATCATTACTTTATCAGCTGTATCAATAAAAATTTGCTGGCCTCTGTTTTGCCTTTTGTTTGAAAAATATCTTCTCTCCATTCGGAATAGGGCTGCGCACAGATATTATTCATAGAACTCAAACTCAGACAAACGAATTCCTCAATTTTGTTTGTCTTCTTGTCATTAAAATGTCAAGTTTGTCTGACTTTTGACGTGAAAATAACAAAAATGGCAGATTTCAGACAAACATGGCAAATTAGTCTCTCTGACGTCATTAGTATTCTGTGCTGCACTTTAATTTTCTAATGAACATCGTCCTGGGCGTGTATGTTCTTTTTCTTACATTGTGTGGTCTCTTAAGGGAGAAGGAAAATCCTCTCCCTCATCACACGTCTAAAAACCATCGTCTTCAGTAAAAATAATAAGATGCTAAACAACTTGAAGTGAGAATTTGTACATGTTACCTATAATTTAAGTTCTCAAAGACAGAGGTGCAATAACTGAATGTAGATATCAATGCAACCGGATATTCGTATTTTTCCAAACGCGGTTTATACAGCCAGACTGTTTAGATGTATTCGGAAAACAAAGATCGGTAAATACACAAAAATTTGCATTCAACGCTGAATTAATAAAGCCAAGCTTGCCCTGGTACGATCAGTTAAGGTTTCCGGGAAACTGGCCACCTATCCCTCCCCTAAGCCACATTTTGGCCTGAGCGAGAAGGTAGTGATAATGTTGTCTTAGGAGAGGGAAAGGTGGTCAGAAAAGAAAACAAAACGACGTTTTGAGCGTTTACCCCTGGGGGTACCCCCGCCCGATAGGATGAGGATCTCCATCTGTGGGACGTTAAAGAACCCACACACTCGCTCTTTGTGAAGAGTAGGGCACGTAGTGGCCGGTGTAGTGGTTTATCTCACTTTCACACTCATGTATGGGGGCATCATTACTCATTCCTTCATTACTTGTAAAATGCACCTTAAGCGGTCTCGCAAAGTCCCCCAAACAGTGTTGTAAATTACACATTACACGTCCCGAAAGCCCTGTACGAGATATGACGTTTAATCCATTTGAATTTTTCGTGGACGCTTTAAAGAAAGTTGGCCCATATATAAGGTATTCCCGGCTAGATTTTCAGTTTAACGTCGGTTAACTAAATAAATCTTTCAGTTCACATGGATTCCTTTTAAATTGGGGAAAATATTTCGGCTAACCAACTGATAGTGTTGAAATTGTTTCTGCTGACAAAACCGTTTCATGATCAGACGGAATTCATTTCAATATTTTTTTGCAGCTTACAATGAAAAAGAGTCAGCAAAGTGATGTCGTTGAAAGGCTTAAGCCTCCTGTTCCTGAGAGGCCGACATTGGTGTCCAGGAACCTGCAAACAAAAGATGTCCTGGATGAAAACCTGGAAGAGGAGAAGAGCGAAAGAAATAATGAAGAAAGTGGAAAAGACGGTGGTTATCATTCCAGCGAGAAGAAGGAAATTAAAATCGACCTGGACGACGTCGAAAGAGGAATTCTAATCAACGATGCTCCTCGATCTGAGATGGAACCTTCTTGCTTAAATCTGGGCTTCGAAGGTGACAAGGAGGAAGAAGAAAGTGACGTTGTCAACACGTCATTTCTACAAAATGAAGGGCGAAAGGGGTCGGTTGCGTCGGTGATGGTGTTACCTTCGATCAGTATTGCCCATTTCTCCAAAGAAAAAGAGCTCACTCTTGCTGAGCCCTTAAGAAACGTCGAAGAAAAGATCACCATCGAGAAAGAAGAAAGCAGCTGTGAGGGCAAGGAAGATGATGAAGAAGACAGTTCTGGGAAAGAAGTTCTATGTTATGCGTGGCAGATTGCTAAAGGGATGGTAAGAATTTTTTCGACTGAAGAATGCCTTGAGCAATTTAGTCATCATTTGCAAAGCGCAAAAATCTGCCTCTTGCCCATATTTAAAAAACTTCTTTTTCCGGCCTGTTATTCCACGGAGGGCTTCATTCCACTAACCCCAAGTCTCCCTGAAAAACAGCATTTAATTAAGTGTCAACAGGTGTCAACGGGCTTTCTTCCGCGGTTGAAAAACTTAAAAACCTTATTTTTCAGCCAATATTCATCCCTTCGAGTTATCGAGGATAAAATTGTCTGGAAGTGATATGAAGGGAAACAAAAATTACTTCGAGTTAGCGGGAGTTTCGAGTTATCGAGGGTTCTAATTATCGAGGGTAAAATTACGGTAAATGTATGAAGGAAATCCAGGGGAAATCGATTTTGGTTCGAGTTAGCAAAAGGTTTGAGTTAGCGAGGGTTCGAGTTATCGGGAGTCGACTGTAGTTCACTGAGCTTGTTCAACTTTGACGGCTTTTTTTGCTGAAAAGAATACGTTGCGGAGTTTTCTTGGCCAATTCCTTGATTTGTTTCTTCGTTTTCCAACAGCTGTGACGGAAATCCTCCATCCATTCTTCATGAATAGACCCACGATCACTTCCTCCCGCTTTCCGGACCGTTTGCCTGGCACAGCTTACAGTAGCCTTTCCCGGCTCTCGATAGTGGGGATGTCGTGTAAGCGTAAGGCACCGGCAAAAATATAAACGCGTGATCTAGAATTGAAAAGGGGGCGGTGGCGGGCCATTTTTGAGCCTGGAACAGACGTTTCTTTCCACTTGGTTGCCTTTCCGTCAAATCGTTAAATGAGTCGGGAGTTCATTTATAACGATATCCCGATTAAGCTGCTATCCCCCTGTCATATCGTAAAATCGAGGTTCCATTCTACTTTCATATTGACCAATCAAAATGGAAATATGTGTTGATCTAAAGGTATCTGGTAACTAAAAATTGTTTGAGAAATAATTTCGTTATTTCTGTGCCAGGAATACTTGGCCAGCAAAAGATTCATTCATCGTGACCTGGCAGCCCGTAATATCCTACTTGGTGAGGACAGAGCGGTGAAGATCGCTGATTTTGGTTTGTTACGCCATACAAATGAGAGTGAGATATACGAAGTTACGAGCGCACACAAGCTACCAATGAAATGGATGGCACCTGAAGCGTTGGAAAGCGGCATTTTTTCTTTCAAGACTGACGTGTAAGTATAAGATATGTTAAGAAGTCACTGTTAGGCCAAGCTTGGGCTTCTTGTGATGCAGTGTGACGTTGAGGTTCGAGATAACATAGACCCTGCAATGTTTAGAACTGTCTGAAAAAAAAAAGAGCACAATTTTGACACTGCTTATAGTAGCGGTTATCACTCTATCTCTCAAGGAATACTCAAGTATTTGGAAAACATTAGCCTGTTCCACGCGTGAAACTTGAAAATATGAGATATAAATAGAAACTTTGAGCCGATGAAGTTAATCTGAGATCACTTTGGATCTTAGATTCCACACTCCACATCCCGCATTCCAGATACTGGATTCCGGATTCCAACTCAGTGTATTCCAGCTTTCAAAAGGCCTAGATTCCAGAATTTCATAGTTAGCAGGATTCCGGATTCCAAGGTCCATGATTCCGAGCAAAAACTTCCAGGATTCCACAATCCGTATCACCTTCGATTGGGCGAGATAAACAAAATGGATGTTTCTATGAAATTTAATTCTTGCTATTTCTTTATCTGCTTCCTTTTATTGCAGGTGGTCTTTTGGAGTTGTTTTGTGGGAACTAGCCACCATGGGTAAGCTGGTTTTAAAAATCTTTGTATATTGATGCTGGTAGAATAATACTCTTACTTGTCATTTTCCTATACGCGAGGGAATTGAGAGGAATCCTCCAAGAAAGTAGTTAGAGAAAAGATTACTGTTCGGTTTTAGGATCGCAGTCACAGGAGATTTGAACCGCTTTATAAAAGAGGCCATTCTGGCATAATGTCGTGATTGCTAAACAACTAGAAAAAAAAAATAATAGGCTCATGTCCGCAGCTCTCTCAGTCGTCTTTACCGGGAAGGAGTGCAGGCTCATAACAATCCAGCCTATAAGTCATACCCTTAACAACAACTTGACCTGATATCACATGTCACTTGGCGAAATGAATACTCAGTAATGGTAAACTTGTACATTACGTTATTTTAAACCAACCTGGAGGTTGGTAAATTGATATTACATGATGGTCATTGAACTGAGTGGAGAGCACTTTGGTCTGAAATCATCGCGTGATTTCGTGTGCGAGTTCGATTTGAGATTAGAAGTATCATTTCAGACTAAAATTGCATGACACGAAGTGAAATTATCACTTTATTACAGCCATTTTGAAATCGCAGAATTTAATCCGTACCAGCAGTGATTGGCCGTGGCACGAGATAAGTTAGCTCGTTATCCCCCCTGCTCGTTAACATATATTCTGAGGTCATGCTAAGAGATGCTTTGAGCGGTGTGAATGAAGGTATTCGAGTGGGAGGTCATCTCAAGACAGTGCGCTTTGCGGATGATCAAGCAACCTTAGCCAGTTCAGTTAAAAGTCTTCAACTTATGATGGGTAAAATGCAGGAAAGCGCGGGGGAATATGATATGAAGATCAATGTTAAGAAGACTAAGGTGAAGAAAATCTGTAAGAGGCCTGGTGAGGAATTCACGATCTTTCTTGAGGGTAAACAATTAAGTCAAGAATCGTCGCACTTTAACTACCTTGGGAGCCTCATTACACAGGATGGATCCTGTGAAAAATATATTAGATCGAGAATAGCCCGAAAACGCGTTTACTAAGAAAAAGGAACTGCTGACAAAAGCCTTCAGCGCGCTAGCCTTTGCCTGAGGAAGAGAATTATAAAGACTGTCATCTTGGGTACTCTTCTGAATGGAGCCGAATGATACACCTTAAACTGAGAAAGAGGACGTGCGAAGGCTGGGGAGTTGTGGAATGTGGCTTTGGAGAAAGGTTTTAAACATAACTTGGTCTGACAAAGTCTGTAACGAAGAAGTATTGAGGCGTGTCGGTGAGGAGATGGCCATTATATCTGTTAGAGAGTCTGGCTTGGTCAAACCCTACGACATGGTGATCATGTGTCATTAGTTATTCCGTGGGATGCCTGTGGCACTCCCACAGTAAAAATCCGGTTCGGTTGTACCCAAAATTGCAAAGCCAGCCAATAGGATTGCGTAAAATCTTTATCGATTATCTCTTCTCCGAAGCCAACCAATCAGATTGTAAAAAATCTGTATCGATTTTTAATCGATTTGCTTCCTCTGAAGAACGTTGAAATCAGAACGTTTCTTGCCAAATTTGTCGCGCTTGAGTTTTCCCACTCGTGGTTTAGGATGGCTTGTTAACCAGCGAAATCCTTCAGGATACTGGCAAGTCACGAAAGGCGACCTAAGCCAAATTATTTCTTTCCTTCATGATTCTTTTTTGTCTAGGTCTAGCTTTTTCATAAGGTTTTAGTAGCGTCTGGTTGCGTGCCATGATTTCCGATAGATTTTTCTATTCGGAGTTCGCCAGTTTTTGCCGAGCACAGCTAGAGTTCTGTTTTTTCTTTTCTTATCGAAAACACCTTGACGATGGGAGGTTAAATCGCGTAAATTTCAACTCGCACCCTTGACGATTGGCGTTGAAATCGCGAAAATACTGTCCTCGTCGATCGACGACTCGCTTTCGGCATGGATTGGACTTCTGGATGGGACACGGATCAGGACAAGAGTAAACTTATTATACCTTGGAATCAGGGATAATCATTGGAACTATGTTAACTTTTAGACCTTGGAAACACATTGCAATTAATTTTTAACCGTATTAAAAGCATCTTGGAATATTAAACTTTCATCTTGGATTAAAACATTGGAACTTTATCGAGCTTTGTAACCCTGGGTTCGACCCTGGATAAAGCAAGCGGATGTTTTGTTTTGTTTTGTTCCATTAACCTAGATAGAACCCCATTATGCTTCCATAGACCAACGCATCCCACGGAAACGACTTTAGGCGTCTTGTTGAGGGAAGAATACCTGGAAAGAGACCACCTGGAAGACCTCGAGCGGGAATGCTGGATAGAGTGAAGGATGGCAGCTCTTACGTAGCGGTCAAGAGGCGTGCCTTAGATCGAGAACCATAAGGAAGGGCTTGCCTATGGGCAGATCAAATAGCCTGTTGAAAAGCGAAAACAAAAGGACTTTTACATCTCATTTTGTAGTCGAAACAGAAATGATGCGATGTAAAGCAAGGTGCGACGGTTCGACGTGGTTTAGAACAGATGTGATTGTGTGATTCGTAAATAAATCACTCTGCTGAGAGCTAATCAGATTGCAGGGATCACCAGCGATTTCAAAATGAAAAATTAGAAAAGCCTGATAATCTTTGATAAGATAGCATTGATCTCTATTTTTTTTATTTTAGGGGGTACTCCATACCCTGGGATAAGCCCTATGAGGCTATGCAGTTTACTTAAATCTGGATATCGGATGGAGAAACCCAACACGTGCAGCGATGAAATGTAAGTCATCATAGAAATAATAAAAGACGCCCGAAAAGAGGGTACGATGAAGAAATACTTTCATAGTCCTACAAACAGTTTTTTTTTTTCTAAAATTGTCAGCCTTTTCCAAGGAGTGGAAACTGCAGCGCATCTCTTTCCTTTACGTTGCCCCATTCTAAAAAGAGCCCATAGAACATAAGTGTCTTCAATATTCAAAGTAAACGGAGACATATCTTTCTGTAGTGGTATTTTAAACTATGGCTTCCTTTTTCAACAGATACAAATTGATGATGGACTGCTGGAAGGAGGATCCAAATGAACGACCCTCATTCGTTCAACTAATACCGATACTGGAAGAGATGATGACAGAAGATACCCCTTACTATTATTTCAGACTCCTGGATCAGAACCAGCCATGTTACCGTGAGGCATCCGCCACTAACACCAGTAAAACTAGTACTCTTGATACGAAGCTGTAATTTCTGTAGGGTCTCTACGGTCTGTGGTTTAATTTTTGTCAAAGCACCCTTTTTTTCTTTAGATTGTTATAGGGGTCTCGGGGGGAAGGAGGAGGGGGGGGGAGGGGAAGCTCCAAAATGAAAACATAGGGGAATGCTCGACGGATAAGTAGATTAATAATTTCAGTTGCACCGTCTGCAATACCAAGAAACTATACCCATAAACTGAACACCGTTGTTTTCATCCTCACTGTTTGCCGGTATTCATAACCAGTCTCCCTCGGTTACGATCACAAAAAGCAGCCAAAGTAGAACACACTCTAACTCATTAAGACAACTTCTTTTTCTATATAGATATTTCTTTACGCACAACCCTAAAGCTACGTGCAAATGGACGCAACAACTTCCAACAATGTTGCGAGTTGTTGGCCAACAAAGTTACGTCCGTTTGCGGGGGTTAAGCGATACATTTATTGTTAAAAATAGTGGCTTTTTGTCTTGCACAGCCAAAGTGAGACCAAAAACTGCGATGTCTACGTTTAAGAGAGACGAGCAACCCTGTCATTTTCATATCGGGAGTTCCCTTGCCAAGCAAGGAACAGGACTGAGATGACGAGCACAACTGTTTAATGGGTTATTACAATAAGATACCTAATAATATTTAATTTCATTTCAGAGACATCGAGAAAATACTGAATAGCACTGGTAATATATCAATTTTAGGGACTAAAATCGGTTCATTCTCTGCAAATGACTATTAACTTGTTAGTAGTTCGGATTGCTTCTTTTACTTTTTTCAGTAGTCTGTCCACACTATACTGGAAATAGATTTTCGTGTCGACATGAAAATGTATCCGGTAGTATGAACGACAACCGTATAGAATTGGAACAAGTCGTCCACACACATCGAACATCGCACCAGAGCGGTCGGCAGGCCGAGAGGCCAGTTTGGTGTACTAAATTACAGTGCTCTCTCCTAAAAATATACTTTCATATCAGGTGGGTCCCAGCCTATGCTCCCTCCTACTCATTTCACCTGAAAACATGTTCACACTGCGACGAAAAGTGGCAGAAACCCATCCGATATGTGATGATCCACTTTTCAAGATCGGCGGCGGCGCAGTTTCGCTCCTTAACAGAAATAGCCGGAAAATCACCGTTCTTCTAAATGAACTGACAAAAGCAAAATCCGGACACATTTTCGTGTCGCTTTCCGGTATAGTGTGACTGATCATTGCCTTCAGAGTTCCTCAGACGCCAGATATTAACCTACCACATAATTCCGTGGGTACAATTCAATGTTACGAACATTTCAATCGGCTAGGTTAGATTACAACATTGCCACTCGCTATAAACATGTCATGTCATGTTGGAGAAACGAACTATTGACTCAAAAAGGTGACATCAGGAGTAAGGTGATAAAAGGCACTTCGGTTCACCATAACAATATTGCGGTGGTATAAGAAAAAAAGCTTAATTATTGTAGAGACCTTTGCTGGTGTTGAATAATAATTATAGTGATTATAGTTTAGATTTTTCTGTTCTTTCAAATAGTGTCATTAGCAGATCACTCGGGAAACCCACGTCTGGGTATGAAAAGTGAAGATTCGGATTATCAGGGTTCGGAAAAAAAAATAACATTCCATTTCCGACCAATGCTGCCAATACAATAAGCAATACAGGAACCTTTGTAAAATTTCTGCAGCTAAGGTCTGGTTTGGAAGTCAGTATATATAACACACTATTCTCTAAAGGCACACAATCAGAGTCAGAGACGGGAAAGAAGTTATCCACCTCGGCGTTCATCCGATACCCCTCCTCGATCTGCATAATTTATATAATTCTTTTATTTAATGGCTCATACGCCAGTAACGAAGTCAGCACCAGCAAGAACGTTTCAATGGTTAATTTATACAACTATGCATTTATTCATTTAATACATATTGCGTATTTACATAATAATATTGCTTCATTTTATAATGATAATAATAAATTCTTGAATGGCAGGAGTAAGATAAAATATTGTAGGGACTTCGGTATGAATGGGGTCACTTTGATATATCGTGCTATTATTCAAACTCATAGCCAGGCCAAGAAAACCAGAAGAAACAAAAGTCATCACTCTTCTTCCTCGTGTTCTCAGGACATGACGTCAATGGATATATTGACAGTGGCCTATTTCATAAACTAATGTCCAGCTTTTGTCAGTTTCTATATATTTGATGTCATTCTTTAAAATAAATTAAAGGCTTTTAAACTTTATCTGAGTTTGTGGTCATTTCTGAGTGATACGCCGAGAATCTCGAGAAAAGCAATCTCCCTGTTCCCCACAGGACAGGCTATTCAGCCTAGTGATTTAAATTAGAGGAAAAGGGAGACCATTATGTGGTATCTTTGTGTGCTAAAAGGTTAATCCAAATTACACATGTGCTTGATCACATGTCTGACATGTCGCACAAGGCAAAACAGGTAGTGCAAGATCTTTTTTCTCATACCAGCTAACTGATAAATAACCAATTGTCTAGTCTGTGTATACAGCAACCCCTTAGGATTTTTCCTAAGGAGGGCTATTTTGATTGTACCGGCGCAAATTAAATATCATAATTGGACTGGGAGCGAACTAGTGAGACAATTTAAGCGTGAGTCAAAAACGAGGGTTGTAAAAAAGCCGGCTACTTGGGCTCTCTAAGAAAGGGCATAACAGATTTCGGAAAATATACTGGAAGATGGTGCGACAATAAAAATGCTTGTGGAAGTTGTGAAACGTCGCACGCTTGACAAAATTCTTGAAAGAAGACAACCTCTCTGACCATGACTCCTAAACCAAGCAAAACGACCCGTTCTATTTATTCTTCCTTTTTAAATCTGCCTTAGGATAACAATATTCTTCTTCTTAGTAATACTCTATTTCACCATAACCGTAAGTGGAACAACTTGACCACCATATTTTTGGCAAGACCGCAGCAGTCTTTATAGGGCAAATTACGTTTTTTAAGTAAACGACAGAACTATGCGCCTTAAAATACAAGCATTTACAGTAGTTCTGTAAAAGCAACCGAGGATTTGCCAAGAAGAATAAAGCTGCGACTGGATTTGGGAGTTCTCGTCAAGTATTTCCACAAAATTTAACAAAGATATTTTTGTACTTGTATACCAATTACGAGCCTTTGGTTGTAAACCAAGAAAGGTTCAATAACTTTGACGGTTCTCCACAAAGTATTTTTCTACCAGCACCCCCGAAAACCAAACGAATTCATACTCCAGTCATCCTTAAAAACGGACTTTCAATAGCATGGAGTGAGGAATGCGTGAGGTTCCCGAGGGGCCTTAGTTATGCCAACTGAGAATCTAACACGCAATATTTCCCATATTTCACGGGAGCTGGCAAAATGTTCTTTGCGGGGCCTTTCTTAGGGTAATAACAATCTGGTGGGCGCTTCAACATCACGCCAAACTCGGACGAAAGGGTCGGTGCTGGTGGTGGTGATGCAGGTTTTTGAATTGATGTATTCTCTGGAACTAACTCAAGACTCTTTGCTCGGGATAAACCCGGATTATTTGGTCTCGGCGAGCTTTTGCTCGCTTGGCTGAGTTCGCTTCTTTCGGATATATTGGGATCACTATGGACAGTCGAAGGTTTTGATCGTTTCCATGGATTGTGAAGGCCACCAAAGAACCCACGAGCACTCGAAAAAAGCAGCCCAGCTGTACGACTGACAACACCCGCTGACCTAGGCGCGTCAGCACTAGAATGACTTTCAGGGGAAGGCTCGGGTCCGTTGGACGTTTCATAGCTAGGACTGTCAGGCAGAAGTTCAGGTGTACTGGACCCTTTACGCTTGCGATGACGTTTCTTCTTACTCTCACTGGTATTGAAGGTATTACCCTACAAGAAATAGAGTACTACAGTTAGTAATCATTTCTAGATTAAGAGTGTTTCTCAATAGTGACCGTTAGATTCTAAGACGAGGACGACTACAAGGAAGAGGTTTTGTCAATGGCAAGAAGTGCGAGGCGTGAGCCAACATCATTTTGGCGGGAAAACGTGACAGCCGTGGTCATTCTACTACGCGTTTTAACGAGAATGTCATTGAGGCGGAAATAAGTTATCAAATGTTAGAAGTTTTATGATTCTGCGATCGGGAGAGGGCTCAAACTCCTTCAATAAAAATAACCGTTCTAACTTTTCTAGTAAAAAAGTGCAATAAAACTTTTCGGGATTACTATTTTCTGAGAAGAGGCAAAAAAACCTCTGAGTCGTCCATGCTCACAAATCTAAAGATCTCTATTTTAGAATTGCTCCCTGGGAAAGAAATTCCAGCTTGATCAAAGTAGTGCAATATTTGTCGTGTGAGGAAGCAGCATGAAATCAGAGACCAGAAATCCTACTATCCTGTAAATACAGCCTACTCACATCGCTCCACGCCGTCCGGTCGGGACATTTATTACGGAGTTTAAGATACGGCGACTACGGACTACGACTACGGTTAAACATGCTTTGGCGCATGATCAAAACCACGTGACTGTTCATTTTTCCCGCGTAGTCCTGCGGCTACGGTGAGTTGTTGAGCTGTTTCGCGTAGTCGGAACTACGGAGAACATTTTGAATCAGTGAAAGGTTCCGGCAATTCTGCTTTTTTACAAAAAGATCAACTCTGCTACTTGAAAAGAGCAGAAAAATTAACTTTCTGCATTTATTTTTTATAGAACAACATGCAAAATTGTTACCTTTTTTGTTAATGCTAGTCGATCAGGTAAAAAGTTAAAAAAAGGTACCTTTTTAGAAAAAAAAAGGCGGGTATTTGAAGCTTTCGGGTGAAAATATTTTAACGTCAATATTGTCCGCTTTTCATCCATTTCTCACTTTACCAAACAAAACTTTCAAGCGCGAAAAAGGTACCTTTTTTTCAGTTTGAAGCGATCTCTTCAAAAGCGCGAAAGGTTTCTATCAAAAGAGCAAAAAAGGTACCTTTTTGCGGTTGGAAGCGATGTTCTTATAAGTGCGAAAAGGGAACCTTAAAAATAAATGGCGTTTTCAAACTATATTTGAAAGCCGTTTCAAATCCTACTGATTGACAGATGTCAACCGTTTGGGGCCATTTGTTTTGCTTGAATTGACTGACCCACTAGTCAAGAGACAAATGTGGCGGAATAAATGGAAAGCAATGTTACTTTAATAAGGAATCTCATTGAAGACAATAAAACGTACAAACATGTCAGTGAAATTCTCGGACAAAACTTTCCAGAAGTAACAATAGGCTTTTCAGAAAGAAACGTGCGATTGTTTTGTGCTAAATATGGGATAAGACGACTGAACGAATACGAAGTGGATTCCATGGTTCAGAAGTGAAAAAAGGCACCCACGAAACAAAACAGTTATTATGATAACCCGCTCAGCTTAGACTCAAGAAAAAAACACTTCTCTGCTGTTTGTCGTAGATCGACGTAGAATCTGATATTTTTTTTTTCGCAGATTAAAATGGTTCGACTTTTCATATAGGACTTTTTTTAAGTCTTCGCTCCACGCTTAAAAATGGGCCGGCTTACTTAGGTCCTCCACATGCATCTAGTTTGAAAGAACCAGTAGCTATTTCATCCATTTGGATGGTAGCCAGTATTTTCGGATCTCTTCAGTCTAGTTTCTCAATTTTGATCGGCTAAAAGGAGCCAGCTATTTTTTTTTTAGTCCGATGATTCCCCATAGTAGACCCTCGTCCGCGTACGTAGCTCGGAAAATATGCCAATAATGCAGGACGCGATAATTATAATATTGCGCGTCCGAGCCATTTCTGTTAAATAGCCGGGGCCACTGAGGAATAGCCTCCCATACAGGTGTTTCTAGGGCAGTCTAGGATGGGTTTTGCTCGTTTTAATTAGATTCGGGACTGCGAAATTCGATTGTAGAAACGGGACATAGAGTCCCCTAAAAACGTCTGTGTATCGTTCGTTAGGGGCGCCAACGGTTGCTTGACATCTGTCAATCAGTAGGATTTTAATTGAAACATCATTTATTTTTAAAGGTGCCTTTTTCGCGCTTTTGATGAGATTGCTTGTAACCGCAAAAAAGGTGCCTTTTTTGCTCTTTTGATAGGAACGTTTCTAAACCGCAAGAAAGGTACCTTTTTCGCGCTTTTGAAGAGATCGCTTCAAACTGAAAAAAAGGTACCTTTTTGGCGCTTTAAAGTTTTGTTTGGTAAAGTGAGAAATGGATGAAAAGCGGACAATATTGACATTAAAATATTTTCCCTCGAAAGCTTAAAATACCCTCCTATTTCTTTCCTTCTCACCTAATCGACTAGCATTAACAAAAAAGGTAACAATTTTGCATTTTGTTCTATGAAAAATAAATGCAGAAAGTTAATTTTCTGCTCTTTTCAAGTAGCAGAGTTGATCTTTTTGTAAAAAGCAGAATTGCCGGAACCTTTCACTGATTATTTTGCTCGTATTTTGCCGTCTCGGTAATTCAAGAATCTCGTCTTTTCGTAAAAAAGTTTCACCTGCTTTAAGTGAGAGGGAAGCGAAATATGTAAGTTGTGTCTAATTTCTGCTCAGATTTACGCTTTTAATCCACTGTTGTGACTACATTTTTATCTAGCTAAGCTCATATTTAAATAAGCTAAGCTGTTTATAAGCAGAATTCAGATTGACGGCCCAGGAGAAGAGAAATCATGCAGGTAATTTACTTTCTCTTCGCACTTGAAAAGTTTCAATGTTTGTTCGAACTGACTAATGTGTCTTTCTACTTGTGTAACCTTTGTTTATGCGAGTTTTTGTATCGCATTTGCTGAATGAAAATGATGTAAACATCTTCGAGACAATCGAAACTCGGCATTTCAATACTTCAAACTATATCAGATCAGTACGTTGGAGAATCTAATAAATGAGCTATTATACTATTTCTGTCTATTTCTTTAGTATTTGACATAAGTATTCATAGGCGAAAAAAATAAAACCTGTGTAACCAAAACTTTGTTCACCAATTTCACTCGACGTAATTGCTTCCTTCAAATATGGAAGAATTTGTTCATTGATCTAAAGATAAGATCACATGCAAAACTGACATGTAGTTTTGTGAACTGTGATGAAAACAAGAAAATCTTTGCGTGTTGTTTCCCTCTCCGCCTCTTCTCTCGTAGTCTACTGTCTGTAGTGCAATCTTAACGTTCTATATTTGAACGACTCAACCCAGTGCTACAAACAAAAGACAACGCTCGTCCAGCCGTAGTTCGTAGTCCGTAGTCTCCGTATCTTAAACTAGGGAGCTTTAGCAACGACGACGGCGACGGCAAATAGGACGTCAAAAAAGCAACAGCTTTATTACGCAAAACAACAACTTTGCACGTGCATCACGCTTTTTTGTACATTTCTTTACCGTCCTTGCACGACTACGACGTGAAAATGCCTAATTGCAAGTTTTATGGAGGACGTGAACAAGCGACGACGAATCTCTTTTTCTCTCTCTAAACTTGAGTGCGGTCAACTCCAGGGAAATTCGCCTAAACTTGCCATTTTCAGCAAATTGGAGTAAACGCGACAAAGATTGAAAAAACGGGAATTCATTTTAAGACTGACGTTTTCCCTGCAGTTGCCGTCGTCGATGCTAAAGCTCCCTATTTCCTAGCGACGGAGAGCGACGAGAGGCGGTTGTATTTGCAATGGAACAGTATACACCCTATTCTTTCCCCTTCTGGAAATAAACAGAACTGGCGAATGATAATTTGAGCTTACTCTAGAAACCTTCTAGTGGACTAACATTTAACATTTAAATTCAAACATCAAGGATTAGCTTTCCCCATTCAATTATAAAATACACAACTGCATTGTGTGAAAACCTGCCTTTACTAATTTGTTGTCATGGTGATCTGTATCAGTGCCGCCTCCGATACTCTCCGGTTCCGCCATCTTGACAAAACTGAAAAGAAGCTGTTCTTTTCTACTTAACCTAGGAACTAAAATTAAAAACAAATAAATAACTAAGAAAATAAATACATTAGTACACTGTACACATTGGACCGACAATAGATGCTTCAGTAACTTGCAATGTGGTGGTAAAAATGAACAAATGAATGAACAAAATATATTGCTTCGATATCACAAATAAAGGGTTCGGTGAAAACCTCTTGTTGCATAAATGCGTTCTGAAGTATAATTGATATGAACATAATATTCATTGTCATGCAGATTAAACTCATTTTCACGAGAAAACAATGTCACTTAGCCTCGTTTTGAAAATGAGAGTTTTTGGAACTCAGAAATAGCAAACTAAAAAGTAATCCAAGTTGATATTTTTAACTACTAAGCAGAACGTAAGGAGGTATGTGGGGAGACATTTCATGTTGATATCAGATGAATATTCCTAGTGCACGAACGTAGTACTCACCTTCAGACAAGACAGTGGCTTTGCTGCGTTTGCTATCTTCAATTGCGAGTCGAGGGGGGCCATGACCGTTCATAAGGTGCACTGACCTCCCGGGTGAGTTAGAAGTCACCTGATTATTGTTTCTCTTTGCAAACAGTATAAACAGAAGAAGAATTAAGACTATTTCAATGCAAAGACCGATAACATGGCGCTCCATCACTTCCTTATTGAGTGGATCCATACGGGCTTTCATATCACCAACTGCGTTGGTCAGGTTATCCAGCTTTGATTGCAGTTTAGTGATCTGTTCCTTTTGGTTGTTGATCTGTAGAAGGAAATGTGTAAAGTGTACATTTAAAAAGAAGTAACGTTGGTTCGATTAATATGTGCATGTAAACAAGACACTTGCACAGGAAATCGTCTACACTGTAGAACGTATACCAAACGCGGCGCTTGATGGAACGTGGCGAACGCCATCAAACGTAAATGGTTGCGCTAAAGGTTCTACCATCGTTAGACCAGTGTTGACGTTATCTTCAAGTGACGGGCCAATAGAGAGCATCTGGGTGGGAGTAAGTTTGAAACTGTCTTTCACAGCAGTTAAAGGAGCTGTGTCAGGAAATTCAGCCAAATTAGGAAATTACAAAATGCCCGTTAAATTAAGAGAAACATAAAAATAACCGCTTAAAACATTAAAGGAAGGTTAAAATAACACAACGGAAACAACAAATGCCACGGATGGGCAAAACTGAAGAAGATTGAAACGGATTGAAATTAGGGTTTTTGAAAACTGTTCAGCCTAGCAATTTTTAAAAGTTGATCCCTGCTGCTTGCAACTTCAAAAATAATACTCGGGAAACATTTGTTTGTCTCGGATGACTGATTTTGTCATTTACATGTAATTTCTTTGCCTACTTTAAGGGCCTGTTTTGCCTACTTTAAGTTTTCCATAGCAGGGTCTAAGTTCCATAGCGATTGAGGGTGAGTAATTGGCAAAATTAATCAAAATGAACTGGACTGCCGTGACACAGCCCCTTTAATTCATCCAACTCGAGCTTGTTCCATAGCTTTAATTCGTTGAGCACTTAAGATCGTTGACAAGGAGCACGCTCAGTCGAAATCGGTGTGTTGCAAAGTAGCGCATTCACGCCAAGTTATTTTTATTGTACTAATCTCGTCCAATCTCAAACGGATAATTTTTAAGAGGACGATAAACAAAATTCCTGTGAACGTTCATTTTCGCGAATTGAGGGGTAGAAAATGCACGGAAGAGTTACCACCAACTAATAAGAACCTACATTATTTGAGGCCTGGCAAACAAGGTTCTTTTATTTTGGGGCAATCATTGGTAATTTAGGCTAAGAACGTTCTTTATTAGGTTCTTCATTTCAATAGAGATGTAGTTGTTGACTACCAGAAAAATAAAGAAACTTGAGAGTTTGGTCCTTAAATATACAGTGTTTATCAGTCCTCCTTTCGACGCTCGAACAGAAGAAATGAAACGGAACTCTCAAAATATATTTGGACTTTACAAGACTCTAAGAAATCTTTCCAGATATAAAAGTTTTAAAGAAATGTAAAGCCTATAGCAACATTGGCAAAAAATGTAATCTATGTCTTTATGAAAAGTTTATCATCATTTGTAAAAAAGAGCTTTGTGGCCTAAACAGGCGAAACGAACTAGCGAGTTCATGCCCCCACAGAAACAGATATGTACTTCAGAACCCTAGAGTAACGTAACTAAGACACAATCCATCTGTTACCTAGATACTATCTCTTAACGCATCCCTATATTTTACTGCCAGCTTTTAATTTTAACGGTCAATCGTTGAAGTTGCCTGATGAGTGTGGTCCTACAATTTCGGACCATACGAAACAGCACTGTCGCAATAAACGATCAATGATTACTCCTGAAGCCTGAACTCCTGTGATTATAAATAGTTTATTCAAAACTGTACATTGCAGCCCCTCATGTAAGGTTCATGAAGACAATTACCACTGTACTTTTTATAAACATTTTTTTCGTTGGAGGAATTACAGTAGTACGTCTATCTGTAATTACAGTATGGTGTGAGTATCTTCTTGAAATATCACTTGGCAATCTCGAAGTCAAGCTCCTTGGTAAAAATGTTTATCTTTGCAGTATTTACCTGTAAGACACATACAAGAACCTGCTTGATTTTGCTTGGCTAAACAGGTTCTTACATTTTTGGATATTAAAATGCCAAATTTCTGCCAGCAGGTCCTTAATCCACAGGTTCTCACAAATGTATTAGCGGGTGTTTATCGTATTTTGTGAAGGTTCAACTTCCTCAGATCAATGTTAAGCTACGAACATGTTGTGTAGGCAACACTCGCTTCGACAAAGGTTAGAATTACTGATTGCTTCGTAATTCTCAACACTTTTTCCCAACACTAAGAATTATAAAGATTATACATACAATAGCCTCTGCCTTCTTGGTAGCATTGGTCAACAGGGCAACTTTCTTATCTGAGTTCTTCTGTAATTCTTCCACTGACTTTCGGTATCTGTGACCGGAAATAAGGCAACTCCTATTAGCATCATAAAGCATCAACTTTGTTTCTCTTGATAAGATCAAAACCAGACAAACACAACGTGCATTCTAACAAGAAAAGACACAAGGCACAAGCTCGGTTCTGAAGATTTTAACCTGTTTAACTCCCCCTCCCCCCAGAAAAAAAAGAGGGTGGGTGGGGGGAGGAGAATCTTCGCAAAGCCTGAATTTCAGACAACTATTTTGAGTCGTTTTTACTCCCTCAGTAACGTCTGAATTTAAGGCTACATAAACATAACTTCTTTGAAGAAGGAACTAAAAGATACGAAGTTATGGGATTGTCCCTAGCACTTTCTCCGAGAACTCTAAACTACTTTTATATCACTCTGGTCATGTACTACGGTAAACACTTTTAGAGATCAGCTACAACTGTGATCTAAACCGGTTGATAAAAATTGAATAAAGACCTATTTTTCCTGTCATTCGGACTAAAATGAAACCCCTTGCTTAAATTAATTGTCTTACTCCCCCTTCCTCTCCTCCAACAATTTTTTGAGTAATACCAGGGCCTGGTTCCTCGAAAGTTGGTTAAGTTTCACCCAGGATTAAGCCTAGTTTTAAGCAAGGTTTTCTTGTCTAAGGACATGCAACTCGAGCTAAAAAAAAAATACTGTTGAGCCTTTACCCTGAGATACAGTAATGATAACACAAAAGGTTACTCTAAGCAATACGTAGGAAGGTAAATTACAAAAATGGAACAAAATTTTAATCCTGGATTAGCGCTAATCGACCTTTCAGGAACCGGACCCAGAGCCAGGTTGTTCAAAGCTGGGTTAAGATAACCTGGGGTTAGTGCGAAATATGAATTCAGATATGAAAGTTTAAAAAGTAAATTCAGTTTAATTCTTTTTGTCAACAAGTTGATATTTGGATGGTCTTAAAAACAACAGAGCAAATTATCCGAGAAAATGCTTTCAAAAAAAGAAAAAGAAACTCGGGTTAAATTTAACCCTGGGTTTAGTGCTAATCGGCCTTTGAACAACTGGGCCCAGAATTATATACACTGGTTTAAAGGCCAAACCACTACTGAATAGGGGAGGGGTTGGGGTAATTTTATTAGATGTTTAGAGGAGATGGTAATGTAGCGCGTAATTCAAAAAAATTAATAGATGGAACCATCTAAAGAGTTTTGTCCATCAGGTTGTACATGTACGTGTAGCTTTAGCCTGGGACCAGGCTCCATAGTGGAGGAAAAGGCAAAAAACAGGGCAAAACAGCCATAAAAAGAAAAAGACAACAACAACTACAACTACAACAAAAAAGACATGGACTGGGGTGTGGGAAAGGTCATTTCCACCACTTCATTTGCTGATTTTTTCCGCCTTTTCCCTTTTGGGGCCGGAGCCTGGGCCCACACAAATAAAGCTTTAAAGAGAACATGGTGCTGTAACCACTTGTATCAATGAGAGATTGAAGAGATTTGTAAAAGTTACCTCTGATGCAGCTGTTCCATATACAGGGTACTCATGTTCAAATTCTGTTCCAGAACCTTGATCTTGTTACTAAGACGAACAAATATGGATTCCTTTTGCCCTCCTGACCCGACCCCTGACGATAGTCCAGCTGAAGAAGAAACAGCGGCTTGTTGAGCTTTGCTGAGGATTGAAGTATCAAGAGTAGCTTCTGCTGACGATGCTGCAGTTGAAAACTCATGGCTAGGCAAGCTTGTGTCTCCAATAACAGGAGGAGCTGGTAATGGAAGAACAGGGTCTGAAGTGTCAGTAATGTCAATACTAGGAGGAATGGTAGGCTGAATAACTGGATCCACATTTTCAGATTCCAACATTTTGGATGTCGATTTTGTGCTTTAATACCCGGCTCCTGGTTGTCCAAATCTGGTTTCAATCCTTCACCTTGTGACTGGTTCTAAATTTATCCTTGAAAAATCGGTTGCTTTGGTTGATTCTGACGCTTCACTGGCATTATGTATAGGCTCTTTTTCTAAATGTACCTCTTCAGGTAATTGAGCAGTACCCTCTCGTCCATCTTTGTCAGTGAGTTTTGTCTCCAAGACGTCAATATCTGGAGAAGATTGTGACATAATGTGAATTGAATTTGGCCCTTTGCATTCTGATGGTGTAGCTTCGGTTTGATCTTTACCCTTGCTACTGTTTAATTCATCAGTAACAGTTACATTGTCTTCTACTTTCTCTTCATCTTTGGAACTTATATCCTTCACATTCAAAGGCAATGGCTGTTGAGAAGTGCCTTTTGTCACAGAGTGTGCCTGTTCACTTCCTAACACAGTTGACGGTCTGTCAGGAATGCTTTGTACAGGTTGTAAATTTAACTCCTGCTGATTGTGTAACTTGGATTCACCTTGTGGAACATCAACAAAAGAATCCTTAATTACTGGCACTTGGGAACTTTTAAGTACCGCAGACGAAGAAGCCGGCAGAGTGGCATTTAAGGGTAAGGACGTAACAACTGACACTTCTGCTAATGAAGGGGTTTTGTCATCAGTTTCCCTCTTCTTGTCATTCTCTGAGACGAAAATGTTTAGTGACTCGCTAGGCTGCAAAACTCCAGGCGAAGGGTCAACATATTCTGAAACTCCTGATGCACCTGAGCTGGTAACTTCATTTGATATTTTCAGAACGCTGGAGGACATTTCAGGAATGATAACAGAGAATTCTTGGTCTACGATATCTAATTCAGCACTCTTCTCTTCTGAGTTGTAAGCAGTAGATGGCTCTCCAGCCTGTTCTGCAGGAACTTTCTCTTGGTCTTGACTTTCTTTCTTTTCATAAGATTCACCTTTATCTTTTTCATGAGCTACAATTAAATTTCGCTTGTAATCACCACTCGTGGCTAAATTCATTGATACTGTAAAATTTTCATTCTTTGAAAACAGTATTCGTCCCACAAAACACCCCAGACTGTAGTGCCCTAATACCTGAGCAAACAACTGACATGCTGACGGAGCAGGACTACATGTACGAGTGTCTCCCTCGTTATCTGCTTTGCTGCAAGGTGGACTATCTTCATGGCTTATATTACCAGACACACATTTTCCTTGTGAAGCATTTCTATCACGACTGTGACCTTGCTTTACTAAACAGGCATTGTCACCACTCATTTGTGAATTTTCGTTGAGCTCTTCATGACCAACAAGAGTGACAATTTTGCCCTTGCTTTCACCTTGGGATTCCTTCTCAGAAGCAGTCATTTTATTGTCTTGGGTGCCGAGTTTACTATCATCTCCTTCCTTATCTTGCTTGTTATCATGCCCATTTCCAGTGAATTTCTTGACCAGATTAAAAACTGTATCAGCTGCTCTTTCCAGCAGATTTTGCTCCTTGGGTTGATCTTCAACCTTGGCACTAGGATCAGGAGGTAACACTGGCACATCACTGTCACTGTCACTGTTATCATTCTCTTCCTGTCCATCTGTTTCATGGTCTTCCAGCTCTTCCATCATGCTGCTGCCGTGCACACGCAGAAGGCTCAGTGGGCAGTAATGCTCTGAGCCAAAGTGACTCAACATCTCAACCTAATTGAATTAAGGACAACACATAAGGTACTTACTCACACTATTTGCCACAATGCATCTGTTTAAAAAAGCTAAAAATTGTCTTCGCATAGACGGAATTCCAAAAAAAGAAAGAAATTTCTACCTACAAGGTACTTAAAATAAGAGATTCGTTAATAAGACAATTATAAGCATCATATGTGCAATGTCTTGTTCTTTAAAGCCTTAGACGAAACGAGCATGATAAATGTGTTGTACACTAAATATGTCGTTCATTAAGCCACAAGACGGCGAAAAAGGCACGATACATGAGTAACATATCTTGTTCTTTAAGCCTCAATGAGACAAAACAAGTGTGATGAATGTGTATTTAGGATGTTAGAAACTTGCTGAGCATAATAAACCTTCTGGTCATGGCTGTTCAAAACTTGGATAGCACTAATAATATCCACCATATAAATCACTATCCGGTGGATAAGTATTAGGGAAACCAGTCATGTTATCCAGTAGATACATGTAGTGACTTATCGGGTGGATAATGTTATCCATTTTTTAAACAACTTGGGACTATTGACTAACTTTGGCTTTGGGCGACTTGACAGCAAACTGTTCACAGATTCATATCTTAAAGTACTTGGCATAGATTGGTTCATCTAGTGGAAAAGTTTGTATTGTCCTTTCCTCGCGAGCTTGAAATGTCCCTAACATAGTCCACTCTCTCGTGGGATATCTTTTACTGACATACACCCGAAAGCTTTCAGGAGTAGAAGAGAATAGTTCAAAGTTTGCAATTTGTATGCTTTTGACTTGAGCCAGGTCACATAACTCCACAATAAACCACACTTGTGCGCTACACGGATTTAACATATACAAGTCTCTATTTTCGACCAAAATACTGTCAACATTAGATGCTTCACTATTGTGATCTAAGATCTTTGCACCACAGTCTACTGAAGCATAATTGCTTTGTTTTCGTTCCTTTAATTTCTTGAGTTTGGGTGCAGCTCCACTTGAGTTCTCAGCACTCTGCTGTTTACTTTTCTCTTCTTCCTCCTGCAAAACTCTTCTTTTAAATTCATCAAATGAAGGCATTTCTTCTTCCTTCAGTTTGGTTTCCTCTTCTGCTGCTTGGTTTAAAGCTGCCGTTATGCTGTCTTCTTCCTCCTTTGGACTTGTTGCTGAAGGTGCAGTAGGCGTGGGCTCACTGCTGATTGGATTTGGAGGGCTGCAATAGTAAACAGATAAAAATTAAAAATTATCTGTAAATAATATAAGGTAAATAGAGGAAACTAATGGTGTATTATTTTCATTCTTTAAATTTACCCTTTCATCTATCTGTTTTTCACCTTGTGGTAGTTTTTAATTCAATGCACTGTAAAGTTTACTTACACGGAGTCTAAAACTGAAGAGAACACCTCTGGCTCTTTTGTTGCTACCACTCCCTCAGAGAAAGTGCCAGCTCTAACATTTTGACTTCCCTGGGATGACTGAATCTGGCTTGGATTACTGGGAGGTATAAGGATTACTGATGAAACCATGTATTCACTTGGTTTTGAGTATGAGTCACTGCTACTTGCGTCGTTTACGACAGTAATGGACAAATCAGCATCATAGCTTGGGGTGGCTGGAGCCACAGTTGGTGTAACAAGTTCTTCCAGTTCTGATGTGGACAGGAAGACACTTGAGGAGGCTTCTTGTGATGTGGTCAATGAGTCATCTGATAAAGGCAATTCTTGAGACTCTTTCTGTAACAAATGAAAGAGTGAAATAAATTTTAAAGAGTTCTTAATTATGCCACTTATGCAAAGTCACTCTGCAAAGGCCCCCTTCCTCCCTGTGGAGGAGGAGAGAAATTCTAACCAATAAATTTCTACGAGACAAGAGAGTTGTGAATCACAACACTCATCTATCTGAAGTTCATTTCCCTACAACGGGGCTTAAGCGTGGAATGAAATACTCAGCCGTATGTACTTTAATAGACAATGTCACTTTTGAATTTGAAGGCAGCTACCTTTCTGTAGCCAGTAGATGGTAATGTAGCAGCCAGTTGAACATGTCAGGGCAATTTATCATGTTAAAGGAGCTGTGTCACGAAATTCAGCCAAATTAGGAAATTACAAAATGCCCGTTAAATTAAGAGAAACATAAAAATAACCGCTTAAAACTTTAAAGGAAGGTTAAAATAACATAACAGAAACAACAGATGCCACGGATGGGCAAAACTGAAGAAGATTGAAACGGATTGAAATTAGGATTTTTGAAAACTGTTCAGCCTAACAGTTTTTCAAAGTTGATCCCTGCTGCTTGCAACTTCAAAAATAATGCTCAGGAGACATATTTGTTTGTCTCGGATCTCTGATTTTGTCATTTACCTGTAATTTCTTTGCTTACTTTAAGTTCCATAGCGATTGAGGGCGAGTAATTGGCAAAATTAAACAAAATGAACTGGACTGCCGTGACACAGCCCCTTTAACGAGTTAATTTACTAAAATGTGTTAATTGATAAGACAAGCTTTTATTAATCATTGGTTGTCTTCAATCTTCCAGGCTGTGCAGTTTTAAAGAGTCTGTGGCAGTGCTTTAGAGAGGAGGGTATTCAAAACTACTGTATTTACAGTACACAATTTACACGTACTTTATCAACAAAGCACATACATTATAAAACCAGACCCAGCAACTGATTTTAAGGTGTTTCAAGGGCTGAAAGGTCAAGTAAAACAGGAAACATTGTTGTTCACACAAGTAACTTATTTGAGGCCCCAAAATACAAGTTATAAGTCACTCCTTGTAACCAAAATTATCTCTTTTTTCAAGTCCCAGTGTGCAATGAAATTTGTGTCCAATAACCTGCCGCTAGTGGATTGTGCTATTGGGCTAGTGAATTCTCTTCTTAACTTACCCGCTGGGCAGGTAAAGTTTTTTGGGGAGTTCAAATTGCAGAAGAACTGTATACAATCCTGCTCAACAAATATTTTTTCAGGGCAGTTTAAGAGACTCTTAGGGTAGTACGTGCTAGATACAGCTTGCCCAAATGGCAAGCTGTAAAACTGACTTTCTTTACTCCCTAAGTCCCTTTACAAATTGGTGGCAAATCCCTCATCATCCAAAAATGAATCAAATCCGCCATAAAAAAACTTTGCAGGGTTATTGTTTCCCGTCCGCTAGTATTAACCCTAACACAAGGGTGGCTATACACTGCGAGACTCACTTTTTGAAAGGCCAACATGTGTGAAAAAGACTTGACTTATGACAACGTACATATGTAGGATTTTCTCAATGAGCTGCAACTTGCAACACTAAGAGTTTTAACATACATGCAAGTGCAAATAATTTTTTTTTCTGTGATCTGAATTTTCTTTATGGTTATTAAATTTATATTATTTTGTGTGCTTTAATTCATCAGAAATTTTATTTGCATCTTTAATTTCAGGATTTTTTTTAAAATTATTGCAAAAAACACAATAGGCAAAATCTAACATCAGTGAAATTTAAGTATATACATGTATTTAATACTTCTGCCCCAGTATCTGGGTACAAGAGGAACAAGATGTTGTCCTTTGGGCAAGCAGCTCTCAATGATTTTAGTTGGAATTTGGTTCAACTTGCCTGGATCTGTGCCCATCAGGCAAGTAAGCTTTAGAAGTTACTTGCCAAGCAACAAAATCTAGTCATCCTGGAATACAGACAGGACTTTTTTCGAGCCCTGAAATAGTGACCTTTTCTTTGTTTGTCTACAAATCTACATGACCAAAACTAGATGATGTCTTGCAGTTTGTGTTAAGCATGGCTTCCAATGATTGCGACCACTGCTATAAAAAGTTCAACAAGCTGAACAATCATAAGAAATAATATTGTAGTCATTTTAATCAGGGCTTCTGATAGGTTGCGTAGAAAAAGGTCAAATTTCTGATTTTGCGGGATTTTCGTGGGAATTTTTAAGGTAAACTTCACTGAGCAAAAATCACCAAAATATGGCCGATTTGAGGGAATTCGCTAAAATTGATTGGTTTTGGGATAATCTGACCAGAATGTTTTAAATTTTTTAAAAGAGATAATCATTTGCTCTTTCAACAACTATGACATCGAGAAATGAGCCGATGGCAAAGCTTTTTATATCATGGCTAGTGTCCAGTTTTTTGCAACATAATTTACACCTGGTGGTTTTGGGATGTTGTTTGCTCATTTCAAGATAAATTTGCAAGTTTGCAGCAATTAAACAGCACCAATAGCTGAGACAAGTTCCAAATATGTTGTGGTATCCTGTGTGTTTTTGTGAATTTCGAGGGATTTTGTGGATTTACCTGAATTTCGCGGTTCAGCGACCACACGAAATAATCATAAGCCCTGCATAATTTATTATCGAAACCCCCTTTACATAAGAATGTGATCAGTGATTGTTGTTGCAATAACCACTGTGATTGCTATAAGATGCAGTGGATAGGATATTTTCACACACTTTAATTTCAGCGATCTTTATTAGTGATTGTAGTTGATTGCAGTAATTAGGCTTTTTTTGGTCTTTTAATCTACACCGCATGTATCAGAGTTTTGCCAAATAATTATTTTACAGTTCATGTTCCTTATTCACCAGGAAAATTCACTAGCAAAGGACACAGGTACATGTCAAAATCCCTCAAAAGATATTATAAAATGCCTTCAATAATGAATATATTGGTTAATTATTTTAATAAAAATATTGTCTTACTCAAGAAATACAGGTTTTGAACCAATATCCATGGAATTAATCAGGACTAGCTAATAACTCTAAATTAAAATTAAAATCCAACACAGGATAGACAAGATTAACAAAGTAACCTTCACAGACAAAATTTGTTGAGTAGACAAACACATGAGAGAGACATATAAGATAAAAGGTTCTTGTCTATGAAAACAAGGAGATGGCAGAGCTCTAACCCAGATCAACAGATCTGAAGTTCCAGGTGTCAACCACCTTGCTAGCAAACCTCCACTGCAGTACAGAACTTGAGAGCAGGAAATTGTAAACTGACAGAAAGTTTTTGAGAATAAACTACAGTAATCATTGAAACTACTGAAGGTGGTAATATTTGAACAGAAATTTGAGGTTAATTAACATGTATAACAAAATTCATTACAAGTCTCAAAAACAACAAAAACAACTAAGATAGAAAGAGCTCTGACGAGTACTCGAGTTAAGTTAAGATGAACTGAAGTAAACACAGCAGGAAGCTGCTACTAACCATTACATGAACATGTAAACAAGTTAGCTAGTTCTAGGCACATTTTAAAACATAATTTACGAATTATAAAACGCCAGAAAAAGAAACGGAGATTTTTACTACGAAAAATATAACCAACTGGTAAACATCGTTTCAACAAACATCATTTCAACAAGGTACACTCGCTGAGCTTGCCTATATGTAACTTCTAGTTCGAAGTTCGCGTGACAATTAGAACTCAATGTAAGCCGTTTCATTTCTCCTTGTAATATTAAAATCATTTTTTAAAACAACACATCTGATGATGAATTAATTTAAGCCACGAAACAGTTAGCAAACATCAGCCTGTGGACGTTTCTGATCTAGTAAACAACAGTACTAATATTAAACTTTGATTAATGGTTTACATACACGTACAGGTTCAATGTTAGAGGATAACGCCTCCGATAAATCCGGTTCTCCTTTCTCAGCAACGGAGGGAATGGCTTCCTTATTTCCATCGGGAGCTTGAAGGCTGTAAAGCAAGGTAAAAATTATCTTATTAGACCTAACCTACGTAGAATAGTAGTAACTAAAATTAACGTGCTACAAAACAACTTCAAAAGCTTCATACCTTACGATGCAAGCGAAAAATAATAGCAGGAAAAATAATATTGACAAAATTTTCATGACCAGGAAAGTAGATGAAGGCCTTCGTTAAAGTCTTAACCTGGAAATTTTACGAAAAATTACGAAATAATGGCAAAATGTAGCGCCATAAACAGTGTGTTGAATCATATCGTCGCAAAATCTGTTGCTCGAAGCTGAAGCAGGCTCCAGGATGACGTGTAGGTGCCGACGTACCGGTCAGACTGGTTCGTGACGGTAGGTACCTCATGTATGGGGACATATATTGTACCGCTTTTACCTAATTAACTTATAACTTCACCCTTTCTGCTTGGTTCCTTGTTGCCTTGAAGCTTTGTTCTCTGTT